ATGAATGATTGTGAAGGGCAGTTGGTGTCAACGGTCCTCTTAACAGATATTGCAAGTCAATATTAGTCCCATTCATTGTCAACTGGGACGACTTTTACGGCAGAAGGGACCTTTATGCTCAAGATGGGGTACATCTGCCTAGGGATATGGTGGCAACCCATATGAGCACGGGGGTGGACGAGACTGCAGTGGGAGCGGGTAAAAAAAAATGATGGGTTACAGAAAAATAGTGCTTGGAATGATGACAAAGCTAAATTAGGCAGGGGGTCAAAACCTAAACGTGATAAAGAGAGGACTCAGATCATGACTAACTTAAATGTCTATTGTGCAAACAATAAAAGCATGAGAAACAAAATGGATGAAATCAGGGCGTTGGTATGTACCGAAAAAATCGATATTATAACATTCACCGAAAAGTGGACAAACTTAGATTCATTTGACTTACCTGTCGAATACCAAACTAACTGTTACAAATTATTCCATACCGATAGGCAGATTAGGAAAGGAGGCGGGGTTGCAATCTATGTCAAGGATAATCTGAAGTATGAAATGTATCAGGAAATAAAAACTGAACTGAATACAAAAACAATTTGGGTAGAATTCACCAATGGTAAGGAAAAATTAATCATAGGAGTAATATAGACCTCCAAATCTCGATAGAGTTAATGAGCAACTTATTTGTGATGAAATGCAAAGGGTATCCAGACAGGGCAAAGTCTGTATAGTAGGCGACTTAACTTTAGTCAAACCGATTGGACCTACCTTATGGGTAACTCAGAATCAGAGGGTTATCTTGAAACAGTTCAGGACTGTTTCCTAAGTCAACTTATAGCTGAACCCACCTGGGGTAATAATATACTAGATTTAGTTCTGTCAAACAGAGAAAGCCTCATTAGTAATGTCGAAGTAGAGAACAAAGTAACAAACAGTGATCACAAAGAAGTGAGATTCAAAGTAGAACTTAAGGTCAGTCGCAAGGAAAATTCCATAAAAGTTCCCAGATTTCAGAAGGGCAAACTTTGAGAGGTTGAAAAGACAGCTGAGAGCGACCTTACTTTTCCTGGTGACATGACAACGATAACCTCAAAAAATATAACTGTTGAGGGTGACCTGACCACGAGATCTGAGGTTGACAAGTTCCATAACAATTTAGATAATGAGTTACTTAATGTAAAAAAGCAGAATACACCGAACAGAAAACTGAGATCAAATAACAATGGCCCAAAATAGATAAAAAATTATTCAAAGAATATTATTGGACAAAGGAAGGCTATAGGTGGGAGAATAAAACGTGATGAAATATACCTCCGAGATTATTATAAAGTATTGGCAAGTAGGGTTGAGACAGAGATAAAAAAAGCAAAGAGGAATAATGAACTGAAGGTAGCAAGGAAGGCAAAGTTTCATCCAAATGTATCAAACTAAAAAATGAGACAAGTTTAGACCAATCCAGTTAGATACCAGCTAGCTTGCGGATAACAACGGAGAAATGAGCAATAATCTGAACAGATATTTTCAAAAGTTTTCACCACCGAATATTAAACATGATACCCGAGGAACCGACTATATACAGAGATAGTGAAGAAAATAGATTAAGCGAAATAATACTGACTAGCAACAATGTTAATAAACAAATAGACAAACTAAAGCCTAATAGGTCACCAGGTCCCGATGAGATATTGCGAGTATTAAAGGAAATTTGTTTCACATATCGTTAAAAACGGGTGTAATACCAGAATTCTGGAGGATAGCGAATGTGATACCGATTTCAAGAAGGGAGATAAATCACTATTCTCTAACTACTGTCCAATCTGTTTAACATCAATTGTACGCAAATTGCTTGAAGCAAAAATTTCAAACTCTATTCGAAATCACCTGGAGAAGCACAAGTTGATCAATGATTCCCAGCATAGCTTCACAAGTGAGCGTTCATGTTTGGTTAATCTATAAGCAGTCTTTCCAACTATTTTTGAATCAGTGGATAACCGACACGATTATGTGGTATACCTTAACTTTAGCAAAGCCTTCGACAGTGTCCCTCGAAAGACTAATACGAAAAGTGGAGGTCTCATGGAATTGGAGGAGATATTCCAAAATGGATCAGGGCCTGGTTACAGGAGAGGAAACAGAGAGTAAGCATTAGCGGCACTAAATCCGATTGGGGTAACGTCACTAGTGGAGTACCTGAAGACTCAGTACTTGCACCTTTACTATTTATTATATACATAAGCGACATAGATATAGGCGTAGAGGGTAACTTAAGTAAATTTGCTGACGACACTAAAATAGGTCGTGTAATTAAATCTGACGAGGACTCAGCAAAACTACTGGAAGATCTAAACAAATTTTTCACGTGGTCTGAAAAATGGTAGATGAAATATAATGTGGACAAATGTAAAGTACTTAGTCTAGGAGATGTAAATAGATAAACCAGATATCAGATGAACAATGTTGTTTTAGAGAAATCCGACTGTGAGAAAGATTTAGGAGAAATGATATGTAGGAATCTTAAACCAAGATAACACTGTATTTGCTCGAAACATGGCTAACAAAGTACTTGGGTTCATACAAAGAGGTGTTAGTTACAAGACTAGCTAGATTATCCAAAACTCTATCTTGCGCTTCTGATACCTCACTTAGATTAAGTGGTTTAGTTCTGGTCACCGTACTACAGAATCCCTGGCAAGAAATCAGAGGAGAATGACAAGACTAATCCCGGACATTAGAAACAAATAGAACAGATGTTAAAGCATGTTAATTTGCATCTCTCGAGAGACGTACAGTGAGGAGCGAAATGATGGAGGTGTATAAATGGAAGTCAGGGTTAAACAAAGGTGATATAACAAAGGTACTTAAACTATTCAACCAGGAGCGAACTCGTTGCGATGGTTTTAAATTAGTCAAACTTAGATTTCGGCGCGTGATAGGTAAACATTGGTTTGGAAATAGAGTAGAGGATGAGTGGAACAATGTACCAAACATCATCATTAGCTCGAATAAGCTGGGTAGCTTCAAACATAGGTTGGATGGATATATGAGCGATGTGTTTTTGCTCGTAACAAGACTAATAAAGTACTTGGGTTCATACAAAGGAGTGTTAGTTACAAGACTAGCGAGGTCATCCTAAAACTGTATCTTGCTCTTGTGAGACCACACCTGGATTACGCAGTTCAGTTCTGGTCACCGTATTACAGAATGGATATAGAATCCTTGGAAAGAATTCAGAGGAGAATGACAAGACTAATCCCGGGCATTAGGAACCTTGAGTATAGAGACAGGTTAAAGCATCTTAATTTGCACTCCCTTGAGAGACGAAGAGCGAGGGGCGACCTGCTAGAGGTGTATAAGTGGAAGGCAGGGCTAAACAAAGGAGACATTACTAAGGTACTCAAACTATCCAACCAGGAGCGAACTCGTAACAATGGTTTTAAATTAGACAAATTTAGATTTAGGCGTGAAACAGGTAAACACTGGTTTGGAAACAGAGTAGTGGATGAATGGAACAAGTTACCAAATATCATCATTAACTCGAATACGCCGAACTGCTTCAAACATAGGTTGGATGCTTATATGAGCAATAGGGGTTGGGTGTAAACGGGACTGCCCAGTATGGGCCAATAGGCCCGCTGCAGTTTCCTCCATTCTTATGTTCTTATGTTGTTATGGGTTGGGTGTAAACGGAACTGCCCACAGTATGGGCCAATAGGCATGCTGCAGTTTCTTCCATTCTTATGTTCTTATGTTACTGCGCCTGGACTCGATAGCCATAAGTACCATTGACCACTACAGAGTACCTATTATTTTGTACTTGGGCACTAAATTTGTGAGTATCATTGGCTGTATCGTGGAGTTGTTACTACTGGGCTGGGTCATTACCGCCCTACAGGTATGATTTTATTTTACCTCAATTCACATTCATGAGTGCGATTCCTTCTTCCAGAGGCTGGTGTTGGTGGCGATGGGCGTGACCACACTGCTGGCGTCAGGCCAGGGGTCAATGGCGGTGGAGGAAAATACACAGCTCCTTCCGGTGGTGGAGGTGGGGGAGGCAGCGTCGTCGTCGGTGGTGGTGGTGGTGGTGGTGGAGGAAAATACATAGCTCCTTCCGGCGGTGAAGGCAGCGTCGTCGTCGGTGGCGGCTATGGTTCCGGAGTGGGGGGGCAACAGCGGCGGCGGCAGCGGCGCAGAGTGGCGGCGGCGGCGTCTATAGTTCTGAAGGTAGAGGCAACGCTTGGCGGTGGCGGCGGCGACAGCTATGGTTCAGAGGTGACGGTAGCAGCGGCGGCGGCGGCTACAGCTCTGGAGGTGAAGGCAACGGCGGCGGCGGCAGAGGCTATGGTTCCGGAGGTAGAGGCAACGGTGGCGGTAGCAGCGGTGGCGGCGGCTACAGCTTTGGAGGAGGTGAAGGCAACGGTGGTAGTGGTGGCGGCACAGGCGGCGGCTATGGTTCCGGTGGTGGAGGCTAGGACGGTGGCGGCTACGGTTCAGGAGGTGGAGGAAACAGAGCCAAGGCAACCGTGAGCTTCAACCTTTTGCCTGTTCGAGGTGGAACTGGTGGTGGCTACAGAGGTGGCAATGGAGGTGGATCTGGTGGTGGCAACGGTGGTGGAGGAGGTGGCAACGGTGGTGGATCTGGTGGTGGCTACGGAGGTGGCAACGGTGGTGGAGGAGGTGGCAACGGCGGCGGAGGAGGTGGCAACAGAGGTGGATCTGGCGGTGGCTACGGAGATGGCAAACGTGGTAGAGGATATGGCAACGGTGGTGGATCTGGTGGTGACTGCAGAGGTGGCAACAGTAGTGAAGGAGGTGGCAACGGTGGTGGATCTGGTGGTAGCTACGGTAAGTAAAGAGCAGCCCATACCGAATCGAATCCTACATAAGATGAACGCGATTCTAAGGGCCAATTGCAAGAACATCTGCGGTGTACACCATGCTGTGGTAACCCCATGGTCGGTTTGCAAGAAGCACTCTGGGCGAAAAAAAAAATATCTACGATTCGTTATTGAAGCGTATGAGATTTCTGTGGTACTCGTACCACCACCAAAAGACCACTACGATGGAACTATATTTTGAAACCAAAAGAAAAGAAATAGAATTGCATGTGCATAAATTGTATAAATCTGCAAAGGAATATTTTTTTATAAGATATCCTCCATATAGAACAGCACATGAAGAATTTTATTGTTCTTTTTAATAGAATTCCATGTTTGTGTAGGGACATCCGCCAGCCTCTACTGGCCTCATCGCCGCTTATGTCCTCCAAATTCTCCTAACCATCATAAAAGGTAAGCCTTTAAGATAACTAATCCAAATAATTTATGTGTAGAAATGTATGGAAATCAAATTAAGCTAAAAAAAAGTCGTAATTGGTCTATTTGAAGAGTGGTGAGATCTGCTCCATCTGGGATGGTGAATGACGTCCCTTATCAGAAATAATATCGACCCAATTTTCGTAATGAGCCCGATTGATAACCGTCCAGCATAACCAAAATAATTATCTAACTAGTATAAATACTTAGTAGCTTAAATTTCATATTTCAATAAGTCCAAAAATGCCAGGTAACCAGTGCCAGGTTGTTCCTAGGCATGTTTCATTTGTGTATCAGTTTAATCATAATTTGTTACTAATAAGATAAATTCAGTGACATAAATTCATGTTCTTTTCTTTAATTCCCTTAGTGACTCAATTTATTGCAAGAAAGAACTACTTTACCACTTTTTGTGTAACATTTGGAGTGGTGGTCATAATTCACTTTGCCATTGACAGTGGTAGAATCAAGTTCAGATATATTGGGTTTGTAAAGTAAAAAACAACTAGGGTTGGGGTTCACCAACCAATACAATACAAAGAAGACTAGATAACGTCACCGTTATTTTACCAGTATAAAGTTACGAAATTTCAAGCCTAGTACACAATATTATATGCTACACACATTATTATATCCTACACTATATTACATCCTATACACCGTTTCCACCTTCCTCAGCCACGTGAAATTCAAATTCAAAACATTTATTGACAATTACATCAAAAGAAGTGATTAGCATGCTAACTAGCCCGCCCAAAACTAGTCTTAACAAGAGCTCTTTAACATTCCACTAATCATAAATCAGATATGTATACAACAAATAGATATGCATAAAATCTATAATCTTTTGTTAAACTTAGAATTTTTTTCGTATTTTTAACCATATTTTTGTGTATTAAATAACAAGCCATCTCTGTAATATCAGTAATACCATCACACCTAAATTCTGATAAACAGTTACATTCCGTAATGTAATGATGTAATGTATGAGACTTTACATAGCCACACAGTTTACAAGGAATGCCATCAGTTCCTTCAATATATTGCCAATAATATTTGTACCCAAAGCGTAGTCTTACCACAAATGTATCATACTTAACCGATCCCTTACCATAAGTAGAACTTGTAGAGTTCAAAACTCGAACATAATGTTTCAAACTACTACTGCCGTTGTTCAAAATTTTCCGAATATTGACCATTTCCCATTGCTGTCGGATTTTTACCAATCCAGATTTTATTCTTTTAATACCCAAAATAAAATCGTATTCTACAATTTCTTTGCCACACCCTTGCTTAGCCAAATCATCAGCAACCTCATTCATATAAATACCACAATGGGATGGAATCCACATAAAACTAACATCATATCCAAGTGATTTTATGTCCTGAATACACTTCTTACATTTTAAAACTAAATCATCATCAAGAGGCACTTTAGAATTTAGAGCAAATAGAGCGCTTTGACTGTCAACAAACCCAAAAGCTGTCTTTTTCCTCACAAAGGCATTCTTAAGTCCCACATATCTAGCATAAAGTTCGGTAGTGGTGCTGGAAGTTCTATCCCTAATTATCTTGGATATTCTTTCTTCAACACTTATACCATATTAAAAATATTCCCTAATAACAATGCCACATCCGGCCCGATTCCCATTAACTGAACCATCACAGTACATATGAATAACATTTCCTTATAGTACTCAGATATTTTCTCAAGGAATATTTGCCGTAACCCAAAAGGATTACATTCTTTTATTTTAAACTCTAGCTTATCCATTCTTACAGATACACTCTCCATGAACCAAGGTTTCAAATAAACTTTGTTTGGCAAAGGCACACAAAAATCTACAATATTATATTCACACAACATCTGAAAAAGTTTTTTAGTACAAGTATTCATCTAAAAATTACTAATAATTGCATTAGTAAACTTATCAACAGCAGACTTCAGCTACCCATCACCACGCCTAATAAGCCTTAGAGTAGAAATGACAGTCAATTCCCTAATTCTGTGTATTATGCTCGAGACACTTAGCACCATCCTCATAATCTCTACTCTTGTTGTCCTTGGACAACCAAGCACAATCCTTACTGCTTCATTCTGAATAAGCTCTAATGGTCTAAGATCTTTTTTCTAAGTAAGAAGCTAGAACTGGAGCTGAATAATCAATGATACTCCTAACTGTACTTAAAGGACATAGATCTTAAAACTGGTATACCAACACAATTTCCTCTATTTGACAAAACTTTCAGAGGTCTTAGCCTAACTGTACATATATTTTTGACAAAAGTAATTTGATCCTTAACATTAATATTTATACCCACAAACATTCCCAGATATTTGTAAGTGGATACTTTTTGCAATTTTATTCCATTTAGCTAAAATTCTTTTCAATTTACTATCCTCGACTGAAATTTGGTTTTATTTTCACTAATGACCAGTCCCAAGAAGAGACAAAGATTCTGTAGCTGATCAATGACCCTAGACATATCTTCCTCATTCTTACATTAGATCAGAATGTCATCAGCATAAATGATTACTTGGGACTCGCCCTGGAATTTCTAACTAGCTATTCTGTCCATTTGAATATTAAAAAGCATAAGGCTAAGAACGCCACCTTGTGGGGTACCCAACCCTAGACTTTTTTCTCCCGATTCCTGACCTTGATCCCAGACACACTCTTTTCTGTTAGCTAAGTAATCTTTAATCCACATCAATAATTTCCCTTTTATACCTTTACTTACAAGACTTTCTAAGATCACTTCCTTATTTGCCATATCAAAGACACATTTAAGGTCTACAAACAGTCTGCAGTTGACATTAGCATTACTAAGACATTTAATCACACAATCTGTAGTGCTTTAACCCTTTAAAAATCAAAACAAATTACTAGACAAGAGACCATCGATTTTATACAATAATCTATTTAATACCATTCGCTCCATCATTTTAGATAAACAAGATGTTAAGGATATGGGTCTATAACACTGCCCTGCATAGTTTTTGAGGTTTGTGTATTATTAAGCTTTTCTGGGTGTATTTTGCATGCTGATCTCAAAAATGTTATCCATTTTGCTCAATCAGGTCAGAATTTTGTGCTATAGCATTTTAAGCGGAGATTCAGGTAAAATATTGGCATTTTTCGCTCAAAATGGGGTCCTCATATTCGTTCATTAAAAAATCATCCGAGACATTGGCAAGCCTCACAGAAAAGATTTCGGTCAGTTTTAATGCCCTTACGATGCATTTAAATACACCCACGTGCTCGCCGGCCATTTAAATGTCCGCCGTGACGCAAAGGAAAAGAGTATATGTCCGTGTTTTTTTACATATATTTTTTCACAATTAAATTTCTTTTTCATCTGGTGGTACATGGCATGTTTCCTCTGTCTGTGGGATAGTCGAGCAGACAAGCAGCACTACATGCAACGTGACTGGCCTGCAAGAAGTGGACTTACTCCAGGTTCTCACAATGTTGTTGCCCATGCTCTGGTGAATCCGCAGAACATTCTTCTTCCGCCACTGCACATCAAGCTCGGTCTGTTCAAAAACTTTGTAAAGGCACTGGACAAAAAAAGCCAGGCTTTCAATTTTCTGAAAGAAAAATTTCCAAAAGTCAGTGAGGCAAAGCTGAATGCAGGAATTTTTGATGGCCCTCAGATCAGAGAGCTTTTCAAAGATCCCAAGTTTGATTGCAGCATGGATGTAAATGAGAAGAAAGCCTGGCATGCCTTTAAGTCTATTGTCTCCAATTTTCTTGGCAACTACAGAAGTCCAGAGTATGAACGAGTTGTTGAGGACCTACTTCTGAGCTACAAAGTTCTTGGTGCACGCATGTCCATCAAGATGCACTTCCTCAGCTCCCACTTGGACTACTTTCCAGAGAACTGTGGTGATGTGAGTGAGGAACAAGGAGAACGCTTCCATCAAGATATCCGTGTAATGGAGGAGCGGTACCAGGGTCGCTGGGATATCAACATGCTCGCCGACTACTGTTGGTGTCTGAAACGGGACGCCCCAGACACCAACCACCAAAGAAATTCTCTGTGACAGCCATTTATGCATGCCTAACTGTAAAGGCATCTATGTAGTTGACATATTTTGGTCCTATGTGTTGTGGTTACATTTCTTATGATATATTTTGCATAAAAATTTGACA